TGCTGAATTTTTGAGAAAAGTGTACAGTATACAACACATTTAGAATATTTCTTTTTGATGGATTAGTGCAGCTGTGAACAACATTGTTTCTCAGATTTGTAATATTTCACAAAGTCATAATCATATAGATTCAATAGAGAAGCAGTAAGTGGATACCTCATATTTATATATGAGACAGTGTGACGCTGTGGAAATAACTGTAACATTAGAATAGAATAATAAAGGTTTATATTAAGGGAAAATAAAAAAATGGATGAAAAAGACAAATTGCTAAGATAATTGTTCTGGTTTTCTCAGGATCACCTTCGCATTCAATAGAGAATTTAATGAAACATTATCTATGTTATTACACTATTGATTCATCTGGTGCCAGTAAAAAATTAATTAACACTGTTCTTACACAAGATACTGTAATTACAAAAGAGAATAGAATTTACAAAACTACAATTCAAATGATCCAAACTGAAACATGTTTTACAATTAAGCATATATCTTCTATTGTTCCCGATTACATTTCCCCACTTCTTGAATTGTTGGTTATCAAAATGCAGCATAAACATGGATCTCACAATATTTGATCATATTTGAGCCAGCTTGTTCATTTAACGATCTCTTTTTTACTGATTTACTGTTTTTGCATCTTCTCTTTACTGGGAAGCTATAATAGCTAAAGGGCTGGCTGTTTTTACCTCGGAGTGGATAGCTGTGCTATGAATCTATAATGTAATCCTCCGATGTGAAGAGAGACACACACCATTCAAATGGTACATATCTATATATCTAGTTCATCCTAGCAGACATGTTGGAAAGCTCATGCATGGAAATGTGAGAACTGCACGATAGAGTGAGAGAGAAAAAGAGAGAGCGAGAGAGGGAGAGTACATACTGCATATGTGCATGTGGTTTAGTGTGCGTGTGTGTGTGGGGGTGTATGTGGGTTTTAGATCTTACTCCTGTTGTGGGGACCTAAATCTGTTTACACAGCTATGATGAAGAGTTGTTGTCCTTCTCGTCCTCCCTGTAACGTAAATCAAACATTTTAAGATGAAGACATATTTTAAGGTTGGGTTAAGGTTAAGGGCTAGGCTTATGTAGTATGTTAGTTATGGATTAAGGTTAAAGTAAATCTGCAGGAAAAATGTTTTTACGTCAATGTCGTCTGAAACATGTACTCAACTGTGTGTGTGTGTGTGTGTGTGTGTG